CTTTAATATTTGTATTAATTCCTATTTAATATTTTCTTGCATACCGGTAAATATTGCTCAATGCGTCCGCCGGGAAAGATGCCATGCAGTTTGGGTCCAAAATTGCGCTCACTGAGCAGGGCAAACACAACCGATTCGGTAATCATACTCTCCAGCGCATGATCCCCATGTGTTTGTCCATAAATACGCAACAGGACCTGAAAGATAATATAACTCGTTGTTCAATTTTGGACAGGGGTGTCGCTTTATGAGTATGGACCTACCTCACGCGGTTCCTGCTTGGGAGCATGCAATCGTTTCAATGAACTCGAATCGCCGCTATCGCTATCGAAGCGCTGACGTTTGTGCGCCTGCTTGGCGCTAGTCGCTGTGTTGTCATCGTCCGCAGTCACACTCACGGACTCGGATACATGCTCCACCTCAACCACATTGCGTGCAAAGACTGCGCTATTTTTGGGCACAACATTTGTGGCGCCACAGGCAACTATGACGTTGTCTTTGGCAACAACATTGCCATTTGCGTGTTGCTGCTGCTGTTCCAATAATCTCTGCTCCTCTGCAGCCTCATCCTCCTCATCCAAATCGGGCAGACTGACGTAATATAAAAAGTTGGAAAGACCGCCACTTAAACAGACAAGAAAAATATTGAGTTTGATTTAAGCAAAGATTTAAATGACACACACACCTGATGCGTTTCACCACCAAAGATTCTGGGGCTACGACCTTCCAGCGACCGGTTAGATAGTCCCGACAGATTCGTGCTGCCGCACTGCGAATTTCCTCAAGGGTTGCCTGTTGTTCAAAGAGAAATAAGATAGTACATAACAAGCCCCATATTGAGCAAAAAGAGAGATAGAGAACAGAGAGAGCAATTTGCATGCAAAATCGACAAAAAAAATTGTTTGGCCCTAGTGGGAATGGGGCAGGGGTACTGTACTAAATATACCTAAAATCCATTGTCGTGTGCTAAAATGCAAATGCAATTAGTGGCCCCCGACATCAGGGCATGACAAAGTATATTGATTTAAAAATAACCATGGTATTCTAAATAAAACTTCGCTTTAATTTTTATTGATTCAAGTGGGAAAGTGAGTGCAATGTAATTTTAAAATAAACACATTATTACAGTACTTAAGATAGTTTATAAGGTCATTATGGTGAAAGCTCTAGTATTTTTATGGAATACACGAGAATGTTGAATGGATAAAGGCTTAAAAAGTGTATTGCCACTTATGTAGTAACTAATATTAAACTAAAGTCAGTCTTCCATTGATAAGCTTCAGTTGGTGTATTTGTATGGAATATGAAATGTACTGTTTTAAAATGCATTAACATGCATTAACTAGCATATATGTATGTATCATGCGTATTCCTACAAATACTTGTATAAACGTGTTCTAAAACAGCTATAGCCAGTGATAATGTGTACTAAATCCATTTATTCCTATAATATGAGTACTCCCTCACAACGAACAACCATAAATAACAATAAAACACTTACATTTCGCTTAAAATGTTGCCAAATATTATCATATTTACAACGTTTACTTAGGCAACAGTTTTCAACAATTTCCTGCTGCTTCTCTTGGCAACGTTTTCGTGTTTTATTATTGCCACAACTTCGCTGTCTCATGCTACGCGTATTTTTGTATAGTTTAGACTCAGATATACAGTCGATTATACAGACACTATATAATATATAAATGTTTATTATATAATTCTGACAAAATAATTGTAAAGGCACACCACAACAGGAATATATGTGTAGATAGTAAGTATAGTATAAAACGGCAAAAGAGTATTTTCGATTTGATTTTCAACAGCGATTTGCTCTGTACAGCTGGGCAGACAAAAACAAACTGAGTCATCGCCATCGGCCATACAAGACATCGACCCAGAAACTACCTATAATACGAATATACATATGTACGCTCTTTCTCTCTGACTCTCTACCCCTCTCTCAACCCCTCTCTATCACTCACTCTCTCTCTCTCTCTCTCTCTCTCTCTCTCTGTGTACTTTCTATAGTGGTTGTTGCTGTTGCACCACTATTCATCCGTACAACCACCACCAGCCGGGCTGGCCTGAGCCGTATGCCACCCCCTCCGACGTGGCTGTCATAGTAAACATATGCTTCCTTATAGATCAGAGGTTCTTCCTCTACATTTATAAATGGTTTTTCTTATCCAAAAAGTACTCATTTATCATTTATGTGAAATATTTATTGAATTCTGTAAAATGCAAGAGTTTACTCTTACATTTTGGTTTTCTCTCAATGTTAGAAAATAATTTTCAAAGTGTAGGTAGTCCATCCGCATCTGAGATTTTCAACAGATGCCCAACGTTCGTTTGGCACCGAAAAATACCCTTGGCATCAGGTAGAAAATAGTCTGCAACGTGTCTGGTGGTGGTAACGGGTGACTGGGGCTGGGGTTTGGGCCATAATTGCTTGTAATTCTTTGTCATTGGCATTTGACAGATAAGATTAATATTTAACCAGGCACACGCACACACCTGTCGGTTGGGTGGCCATATAGTTGGCATATAAAAAATATATGTACAATACATAGACTTGTGGCAAAAGGTGGGGAAGTTTACATGGTCAAGTACACTCGATTATTGCATCTGTTAACAGGAAAATGGTTGAATATTTCCAAAGAACATTCAATAACGTTCGTTGAACCCATTTGTAGAGACTTAATAAGATACGAATTTCACATTGAATGAAGAAAGTTTTGTGGCATGTCTGGGCGAGTAATAATTCAACATTTTTTCAAAAGATAATATTGAAAATTTATGGGGTGCAACAAAATCCGTATTAAATCCTTCTTTAGTAAACTCAATTCAAAAACCTATTTATTTCCGAGAATTTGTAAGAATATCTTCAAGAATTTGTATCCGAAAACCAAACAAACATTTATCTCATATGATCCAGTTTCAGAGGCCGCTGCAACTCGCGACTAATCCATGGAATTTTCCATGCAACATGAAAATATTCCATTGGACTTCTATTTACAAGATTTGACGCACAGTTGAGGCGCTGCTGCTGAACACAAAACCTCTTATCATGTTTTAATTGCCGTTTCGTTTTGAATAAATTCAGTGGAGGCCATAACATACTTGTGTATGATCACCAACTAATCAAATAAAGTAAATTAATAGCTAAATAAACATTGGGGTAATATTGCAATAGTAAAGATTGCTACAATTATTATATGTCTCATTCAGAGTTTTGTTCTGCAAATGAAATTTTGCAAAGAAAATTGTGCTTTAATTGGCTGTTCTGGAGCCTTATCATACGCATACATCGTTGTGTAGTTATCAGCAAACTATAACACAAACAACTTAAATCATTTAACACTATGCGCTGCAATAAATAGTTGCGAAAATGTATATTGCCCAACTTTAATACTGAGTTATGCTTCATTTCAATTACTGATACAATTCCTTTCAACGGAGTTCTTGGGTACTTCTCGGGAATGTATTCATGTATAGCATATGTATGTATAGTTTTTACATATGTAGGTCACTTTTTTAAGCCGATAGCTCGAATAGCCAACATTAATTTTATTAGATTATGCATTTTACCTACTTCCTTGCCTTAAATACTTTCCTGGCAGTTATATATTCATTTTGTGGTGGCAATAAATCGTTAATTTGTCGTTTAATCTGTATAGCACACCGAAACCTTCCAACTATTACGTAAATTTGCAGAGTACGTTAAGAGAGAGGGAGACCATGTAATACGATGAGTGGGGCATGCAATATTATGAATTGTAGTATTCTTAATTGCTGATCACATGATAGTTATAACAAGTACTAATATGATACTAATAAAAATATTATTATAATCAAAATGAAATGGGTTGATTTTATTTTCTATATTTTCCATTTAATGCTAACGAGGCACACAGGAGATTATGAACGCATTTGAAAACGCCCGTTTCGTAAGTACCCCAGCTGTTCCAGGTATTATTGTGACAAATTCACATTCAAATTACCTGTCAATGACAGATATAATTTTACCTGAAAACAATTATGAAATGAGCAACAGAGCGATTATACCCGCAACACGTGACGCGATGACTTTGTCTAACCGCAACAATGTTGTCGGAATGGGTTTTACTTCTCGTAAATCTACAATCTACTCGTAGTCAGACCTGTACACCCACTTTTGATCACAGAAAAATTCACGTAGTACAAAAAACTGCGGGAGCTTATTACTGATAAGCCCAAAACCCTCGTCAAGTTGTATATTTTTTTTCAAAAGGAGGGTGGTCTGGCGTCAATGTACGAATAAGCAATCGGCCAATGGCGATAAGGAATGTTTCTGAACGATTGTGGATTTCCAGAGGGGAACGCGCAAAATCAACGTGTTCTCATTCCTTATAAATGAAAGAAAACTTAAGTAATTTGCAAAGAATACATACTCCTAAAATCAGGGCGGTTAAGGAGGTTTAAAGTACAAAGTATCATACCATGATAAACATAATTTAGATGTTAGATAAAAATGGTAAGAAAGTAAGTTTTAGCAATTACGGACAACGAAAAAGATGGTCAAATATGAGAATACATGAATATTTTCTAAGGTATCAAAATTTCGCAACAATCTATCAAAATGCACACCAGACTCTGCATACGCAAAAGATCTACATACAGCCCCACAACAACACCGGTCAAGGTACGAAAGGTGTGGAAAACGTCAGCAAAACACACACTGAAGCGACGAAACAGACACACCAAAACGCATATAGATAAAATCGACGCCTTTGACTTTTGCCGCCCGCTTACTAATTTCGCAAGCTTTACTTATTTCTCAATCTTTAATCTTTTGTTTCTTACCGTTTGCAAGTTGCTGGACATCTTCTGCTGCCACCTCTTGTCCTCTTTTCTTTGCAATGTTTATCTTATTTGCCAATTCCGGTACGCACGCTGTCTGTCGATAGTCAACACGCGCCTGGCTAACAAAAGCACTTCAAGTGTTCGGTCGTTCTCTTTGACGTCACTCTTGATATTTAGTATGGTACACGGGTAACAATAAAGTTATACTAACTACGTTTATAAGCGAGTATTCAGTTTCAGTTTTCTGTTAACGGTTTCTTTTCACAGGGGGTCTCCTTTTCCACGTCCACTCACGAGTACGCTTTATTTTCGACTGTGACTTGTTGATCGCTGCCTTTAACTCACACACAAAAAGCTTTCTAAAAGCTTCTGAGTAAATCGCTCTCTTTTAGCGGTTCTTTGCTATCTTATCAGATTTATTTAATATGATTTTAGCCTTTGGCTTGTTTTTGCCCGGGAGACGGCTCAAGGCTGATTGCTGTGGCACTCTTTTTGTATTAATATATGTTTTGTTAGACCTGAAAAATACCAAAATTATTTGTACTGTCTTTTCTGTTTCAAAATGTTTCGGAATATCAAATATAGAATTTTGATTTTTTGATATGAGCTTAATGAAGTTTACATACCATTCACAAAACAGCATCAGCATTATTAAACTTAATTTTAAATTGCGTTGTAGAATATTATTAACTTGGAACCAGTTTTTGTTTTTGTTTTTTTTTATTACAATGTATTAACATACAGTTGTGTTGGCCCCTTTCTAGGTCAAAGACGTTCAATTGCGTTTCAAAATTATGAGCTCTGTCGCTAGAGGTTTCTTCTATAAAACATTCATGAGAAGCGGCACGAACGCACTGGTATCATACAACCATACAGTATATATTAAGTAGCTGTATCATTTCGACCAAGTAATATGCACGCACTGATAAAATGTTTTCTGGGTGTTCAGTTTTGAAGGGTTATATTCGATTAAAATTGAAATTAATTTAGAAAGAAGAGCAAATGGTAAATAGTATCGATATATGTACTTATCGATGAGATTAACATGGCTAGAAACATTGCTGTCTTTGGTTAACAGCGCCACTAACCAAAAAATATATACTATTTGGTTAGTGACAGCGCTACGCCATTTAACAGTCTCCTAACAGTTTGGGCGTTAACAATGGTGGTGCACAAGAAGTAATTGAAATCGCACAACCAACAAAACTTGTATCTATTTTAGTAGTTATAGAAATTCCATTCTGTACAAAAAAATTAATTTAAAAAACTTGTTTTAAAAATATTCCATTCAATGGATAAAGAAAAGGAACAAGGAAGTCTTGACATCCTCAGTGAGCAGGGCTGGATTTTAGAATGTTTGGAATGGCGCTGATTGAAGCTTTTTGAATACAGTACTTTCAAGATCCAAGATACGTACAAGCGACAGCACCGACAGGATGTGCTCGTCCGGGTTGTGGCGACTCCATTTGTATACCGCTTGAAAGATATTCAGTTCGTTGGCAATGAAAGTTCAAGGTCCAAGGGCTTGTTCAAGTGATTCCTTTATAGTATTATGAAGGTATCGTGTTCTATCACCTCGGCCCCAGTGATGCCCATGAAATTAAGGGATTTCTTGATCAGTTCTGCAAGTTTCGATCGGCGCGCTGTATCCAGGATTGTACACACGGTGCAGACGAGCAGATGCTCACGCAGATGTTCGGTTATTGACGAATCGGCTTCCAACAAGCAATACAAATTGGCCGAACTGAGCACTTGGAAGACGACATACACCTTCAGTGCGGATATGAGCAGAAAGCCCAAGTAAATATTGCCGAGGATTATCTTGTATGCTTCCAAGAGGACCGCCGGCAGCCTTATCTAGTGTTGTTTCGACACGGACATGCCACCATAGAGCATGGCACGGAAGTATTCACTGCGCATCGACAAGATATCCATGTAAAGGCGGTCCATGGTGTGCACCCGAGCAGGCTCGATCGGGTAGGCCAAAGAGGCGGGGCTTTTCTATTTCGAGTCTGGGGTTGCCTGTAGGTGTTTTCCTGTATTTTCTAACTTTGTTTTTTTGTTTTTTTTTTTTTTTGAGTGTTTAAGTTACCGCTCTACCCTTGGGTAGAGGGGAATTATTTGGCAGCCCGCCTTTACAAGGGGGAAATCGCCACGTCGAAATATGTAACTTGTTACAGTTTTGCTCCAATACTTACCTGGCGTAGAGGTTATTGTTTTTTTTTCCTTCAGCGAAGTTCATGTTGAAGTTCATGCAATGTTCATGGGTATCGATATATCGATTAGTCGGCTTATTTCATTTTCTGAAAATGATTATGAGACATATTAAATATTTTAATATTTGGTTTTAGTTTTTGACAACACAATTAATTATTCAAAGAATTATATGCACTTTGTTGGTATTATTAATCAAAAAGCTAACGGACAAATACATTTCATTGCTCGCTCCCATCAACGCAATTGTGAGCATAAAAAAGTGTGCAGAGCGCTCTTACGAACGGACTGAGATGCGCAAAATTTGCATGACTCCAAAAAATATTTAAAGTATTTGATCCCGAAAACGCATTGATAACGCTTTAGCTATTATGCCGGGTATTTATTGCACAAGCTGCTTAAAAAGTACGACTGCGATAAATGCTCTAGTCTTTTAAAATCCGACGAGGTCCGTTCTTCTTCTGAGTATTTGATACTCAATAAAAATTTTGGCTATGTCAGCAGCAGTTTAAAACTTAAAGCTCCTTCTGAAGATTTTTTTACATTAGTTAAAACTCATTTTGATATTTTTAGTAAGCAATTCGAGACAAAGTCTCACCAATTCAATTTAAAAAGAAACATAGTCAAAAAATGTATAATAATAACTTCTAAAATAGATATATATGCAGACTGGTTCAAATTTTCCGATCCGTGTTTTGCACACCGAAATCATCTGCTTAATCAGTTTGTTTTGATTTTGATTAGGAAAAATTGTAAATGGCTAACGGACAAAATGATAGGCAGTCAAAATACAAAGTCATACGAGAAGAAAATCCGATCTTCCATCGGTAGCTAAAATGAGCGGCAACTTAATGTATGTACATATGTATGTACAATTGTAGATAAATGTATATAAATGATGTATATATATTTTATGTATGTATATAAATTTGTAAATTTGTTTGTATTTATAATTTATAGATAAGATAATCGTTACTTTATTGTGCACAAATTTAAACACACATAGTATGTTACGAACCTGTTTTGGTGTTGGGGCAAGGCCGGCTAGCCAGTCATCCCAGGGCTGAGTTCTTCCCAGGCCCCCAGGTCGCACAACAAACCAACTGTTCGGACATCTCGAACAAATATCAAAAGCAAACGATAATTCAAAACAATGCATCGGACTTTACTCTACATCTAACGGACAAACATCTCTCCAACACAGACGTGGACAAGTCTGAGGTGCCGATGGTCTAGCTCCTACGTACTCTACCTGAGATGCGACTCAGAATACCTCAGATCTCCTTCCCAAGTGTGGCGGACTTTCTCCATCTCGCCGTTGTGGTCCCCTTTCCCCCCCATACTAAACACACTAGCACTTCATTTTAAACGTTATAATATTTAAACCAAAAACTTAACACATACTTAACTAAAAATCCCTATACTAATGTCTCGTGGCGCGTCCGCCTATTCCCGACTCTTCAACTTAAATTAATGGGTGGGAATAATCACAAAAATAATAAATATAAATAATAAAATAAATATAAATACAAATACTACATTTATATTACATTAATATGGTCGGTAAATATATGTGGGGTGGCTAATTAATTGAATATTAATTAATATAGA